TCTATCTATTTATATAAATAAAAATGTAATGTTCGTTTGTTCCTACCGATTCCTTTGAAATTTTGACACAACGCTGCATTCGAATACGCACGTGTTTTTATATAATATACATGTCGAAATTCAACTCTACTGAAGGGAGATGGTTCTTCACGGTAAGAATCCTAACGATTCTTACCGTGAAGAACTTGGCTTCTATTATACTATTTTAGATGCGAGTTTTTGCGTTTTTGATTGCGTTTTAATAGGGTACGTCAACAGCATGTACACTAAGAAGAAATTTTTCGAAAAATTCCGCCCACGGGGGAAGTGTTATAAATTTATAATAGATACATTTTGAGCCACAACAACGCGTGGCGGGGTCTGCTAGTTTAAATATACGCGTCATTATTTAAAAAAAGTTTTCAATGACTTGTCTTCGATATGTCTATATCTATATCTAAAAAGGTAAAGTGCATTTTATACTGATTAATTTAAAACAAAGGATGTTTTTATCTCAGGCGTATCCAATCGAAAATGATTCTTGAGTATTTTATTTACTGTCAATTTTATCTGTCCTTGAGGCAATACAATAGGAAGAGCTTTTCAGTCGAACCACAGTTGCATGTGCAGTTATTTTAAATGTTTCTTTAAAGTATTGTCATAAAATTATACTCAGTAAAATAGTGAATATAGCTTTCTACCATAAAATTTTATAACATTCTATATAAAATGATGTTTTTTATGTCGTGTATTGGTCGACGTTTGAGTGAAATTAAAGTGTTTAGAGTAAGAAGCCAATGGAGGTAAGTAAAAATTAATTACAAATTTTTATTTGTGATATCTTCGAAACTGCAAGATGATCACGCCCATATACAAAGGAGCATGTAGGGACTGTGGTTTCGATTTGGTTTGATGGGATACGACAAAGCAACACATCAACGGTTAATGCCTCCATGCAGGACTTTCTATGAGAAACTGTTCCTAATTAGGTATTAGATACACGAAGAAAACCCGGAAAACTGTAGCGTGTTGGTTCACAACCAGAACTGTAGTTTTATCCACTTTGGTTTTATCGTTGACACATAAGGCCCAGAATTAGAGGTTATTGTCGCCCCTATTTGCGTATAGGACGTTTTTCACTGAATGTTATCTTCAGATGCTATTATCAAGAGCCTTTATCTCTCAGTTTTTGATGATAACATTTTATAGAATTATCAGATAATTAAATAATCACATTTTATGACAATGATAACAAATATATTAAATTTAATGTAAATTATATAAATTAATATAAATATTGATAAGACTATATCTTGTTTATAAACTCGCGTTGCCTTTACTGGTGCATACCTTAGAGGTTTAAGGGCAACATGTCAGGAGTTGCAATTTGGCACAGAGTATTAGGTGCCCAAATCATGTGCGCATAAAAAAATTCAGACTTGTAGGTATTCAGGAGACCGAGAACTGAGTCAAAATAAAATACAAAATGATGACATCTTTCTACAAACAGGCAAGAGTGAGCAATTTACGGATGCATATATCGTTGGGACATTGGAAATGCGAACGTTGCGAAATCGAATTTTGACAAACGAATCTTTGAAAAAACCCATTTACCTCTCTGGTCCCGACCTGCTGACGTTGACCGGTTGACCCGAGATATCTCGTTTCAGTATCGAAACGTTTTTGAAACTAGATGGCGCTAGTCGTTATAATTTTATATTGAAAGTAACTTCCGAAATATAATTTTCTTTGTTTTTACACTTGTTAATATATATATTTTGTTTGTGCAAAATAAAAATAATAATTTCGGACGATACAATAGCCACGATTATTTTTTTCAAAAATGGGAAATTTTCATTAGGCATCGATAAAAATTCAACCCGGGGCGACACGCAACGGAGAGAAATTTTGACATTGGCTAGGTTAATTTCACCGAAAATGCCTCGTGGCCATGGCCGAGGCTGGCGAAGTTTGAACGAGCAGGTTCTCTGAGTCTCTGAGACGTAGTCTTGTCCCAAAAATCGGCCTTGCCGTTTTACTTGTTTTAAAATAATTTTTAAAACTAATCATCTGAAAACAATGATTAATATTTGTTTTAAATAGATTAAGAAATCATATTTAATCTATTAAGCATAAAAGATATTTTGATAAACTGCAATAAGTGAAAGAATTTGTGAACTTTGTAATCTCATCAAAGATATTAGATTAAAATTCTGCTAAATCATTTTCTGTACATTCGTGTGAACAGANTCATATTTAATCTATTAAGCATAAAAGATATTTTGATAAACTGCAATAAGTGAAAGAATTTGTGAACTTTGTAATCTCATCAAAGATATTAGATTAAAATTCTGCTAAATCATTTTCTGTACATTCGTGTGAACAGAAATTTCATGACGTAAAAATGAATTTAGCGTAAAATCGAGGAGAAATGTTTAATCAATCATCATGTTTTCTATATTTTAACTTAATGATAAATCCGCCAGTGATAAATGAAATGCAGTGTCAAGGATCGCACTAATTCGGCTTTTATAATAAACTAGCTGGAAGGACCCGCTTCGCTGGGTTTTTATTTGTGGGCAAAAAGTAACGATAGTGAAGATTAAGATAATTACATTATAGCCAATCTTACCCGTTTTCACAAAATGCAAGAATTAGGTCCCCCGTTTCCAGACTAATTAGAGAATTTTTACGTCCAGTCAAACGAACTATTTTTAATTTGATCAATTTTCTGGAACGTTTACAATCGTTCTATAATCGAACCAATTCGAANAAAAGAAGCACATACAGTAAATATATATCTGGACAACTCGACATCTGCCTTACCAGTTAAAACCTCAGTCGAATGTCTATCAGCATAGGCCATCATATTGAATGCTTTATCCCAAAACATCAATTTCTTTGAGAGCCCTGGCTTTTCATGGTTAAATAGCTTTCTGAATTATTATTATTATTATTATATATATATATATATATATATATATATATAATATGGTATAGTAAATATATATTACAAAATGCATGTTATTAAATAAAAGACAATTTCATTTTTGAAATCCGATTTGCGCCCGCCACTACTTTTTTTTCAGTCTCGAATGCGCCCACGCCACAAAGAAGTTGGAAATCCCTGAACTAAAACTATCATTTTTACTAGTTTTTATCGACAATTTAACGATTTTTAGGTGGTTTTTAACGACAATAGATTTTAATCATTATGCAGTAATTGCCATTTTTTTTAAGTTTGAATAATTTTTATTTCAGCACGAACGTCGAACGTAAAATTTTATTTTCTTAAAGTGCATTTAGTACACTTTTGACTTGCTTAAAAGGTTTTTGTACAATAAAAAACATAATCTCTGCGTGATTTTATAATCATGCGATCGATATATATCAATAAATTAAAAGAATAAAAATGTATGAAATTAGTTAAACATGAATAATCTTTAATTTACACTGTTTTAATTGCTATGATATATTGTTTAACTATTTTTCTTTTTTGTTTGATAATATACGATTTTAAATTTGCTCTATCAAAACTTTATTCTTCTGGAATGTACTGTATTTCTTATATGCGTAGAGAATAAGTTTTAAACTATAATTTCAAATGAGCTAAACATTATTCTTAAATTATTCAATAAGAAAATGCTGAATATTTAAAAAGATTAAAAAATATCAATTTAAAATTTTTTCTTTACTATAATGAATTTTTAAGAAGAAAAAAAATCGAAGTTTTCTAAAGAAGAAAAGAAAATATATTTTTATATTTTTCAATATATTTATTTTGTTCGTACAAAATAAAAAAATAATTTTTAACGATACAATAGTCTTCGTTAGGCTTAACATCGACGAAAATTTAACGCGAAGCGACACGCAACGGAGAAAAATGTCAAGATGGGATAAATTAATATATTTTTCGTATATAATCGGTTATCCGAAACATCGATCATCCGAACAACCCCAATCCCCAATTGATTCGGATAATAGACGCTCTACTATATTTACTTTTTTATTGATATTTATTTGCTTTTTTCATTATCTTATTTTCATTATAAAAAGGATGTAACATAACAACGTAACACTTGGGCGATTTGTCAAAGAGAATATGAGAAACAGACCTATATCTAAGTGTTAGACAGATGAAGAAACATGGAAAACTTCACGTGGCAGTCTGTTAGTCAGATGAAAACCCACGATTAACTACAGATAGTGATGTTATCCACTCGGCCACTGGTAGGCTAATTATTAATATAAAAACCGGAGTGCCAAATAAGAAGTTATAATTTAATACACATCTAATTTAATTTTTTTATAATTACTGTATTTCTCTAGTTTTTAATATATCTTGTCAGTTGTTATGTGAAAGACCATTTTTATTAAATTCAATGAAATACTTTAAATTTTACAGTTATGCTCAACCGTGTTTGTAGGATAACAAACATGGTTATCTTAACATAAGTGCTATGATATTTTATGTTTACGTTTTATTGTATTCTTCATTTATCTGACTATAATTGTACGTTTATAATTTTCAATGAACTTTGTTTTCCATTTGGATTCTCAAATTCCTTTCATTGCACGATCCAAATGTGTTTTGCAACAAAATTACAATCCTACCAAGGAAAAGCGAGAATAAAAAACAATTATCCATTTTCTTCTTTAAAAAGAAAAATATGTGTATAATTTTGTGCGAAATTTCAAATAAAAATAATACAGTAGAGCGTCGTTTATCCGAAAGTCAGTTATCCGAAACACAGATTATCCGAAAGAGTTTCAGTTGGCAAATTTAAATTCTCGCTAGTGCTGTGGCGTTGCAATCTTTGGCTACATCTTGGGCTACTCCAATATTTTTTTTGTTGATGTGTGTGTTTTAGCTGGCAGCACTGGCACTTTTGTGTTGTGTTTTTCTGAGGACTGTGCGTGGTGCTGAATCGAACGTTTTTGATACTAGAATTTATGTGGCCCGCGATCAATCTTTCAAAATAGCTAGATGAAAAATTCTAACGCCTAAAAAAACTCAACAACTCACTATGCGTTTAGAGTTAACCCTCCATTACAAATCTCTTAAGTACAGCGTAGAGTGTTGATAAAGCATGATAATGTGAAAAATGTATCTGCAATCTCTAACTACAATTCAGTCTCTACGGGGTGACACCACAATGAGATCTCGCACCACCTCAAAATCTTACTAGGGCAACCTCTGGTTCGGCCCGTGGAAAGTTTCTTTCCAATCTGGCCCAGGGGCAAAAACTGTTGGTCACCCCTGTTCTAAAGTATAATTTTTTTTGTTTTTATATTTTTCAATATATTTATTTTGTTTGCAAAAAATAAAGAAATAATTTTTAACGATACAATAGCCACGATTATTATTTTAAAAAGTTTACATTAGGCTTAACATCGACGAAAATGCAACGCGAAGCGATACGTAACGGAGAAAAATTTCATCATGGGATAGATTAATATATTTTTCGTACATAATCGGTTATCCGAAAAATAAGTTATCTGAACAATCCTAGTCCCCAATTGATTCGGATAAACGACGATCTACTGTAGTTTAATTTTAAAGTCTTCTTTTTCTTTAATGTTCTGCTGTTGCCATCGTATCCATATAGCCTATCTTCTTCACCAGACTTTCCTGCTTATGGCTCTAAGTTTTAAGTCTTCGTAGCATATCTCTTCCTTCAGGTATTTAAATTTTCATGTTTGCGCGTGGATTTTTCGGTGTTTTCTCTATTTGTGTAATACCTTAAAAGGACCAGTTTCCCTAGAATGTCCTCCAGAGAGACACAGTGCCTTAGCACATTGTCCTTGTGTTGCCTTATCAACCCTCAACCCTACAAACAGTTTCTCAATTCGTTGTTGTAAATGATTATTTGTTTAGTTTTTTCCAAATTATACGTTTTCAAAAGAAGAAAGAAAAATATTTATTAAGTTTCTCTTAACATTTATCTAATTTCTAGATGCATTTCCAACAGAAGAGAAAAATTAATAAGTTATCATCATGAACCCGGAGAAACTCCTTTGAGTCCATTGACGCTTGGTGAAGTTGTGGATATAGCTGCTGATAATTGTGGAGATGACATTGGTTTTGTTGTACCTTACCAAAATATAAGAAAGACGTTTTATCAATTTAAAACAGACGTATGCATTATTTATTTTAGTTTTATGTATCTATTAAATTTATTGTCAAAATATATTATTTAGTTTATTTTTTAAATAAGGTAGATGAAGTTGCTTGTGGTTTGCTGGGTTTAGGTTTACAGAAAAATGACAGACTCGCCATTTGGTCTCAAAATTGCTACGAATGGATGGTTACACAATACGCCGCTCTTAAAGCTGGTCTATTAGTGGTAATATTAATTTTTTTGTTATATTTTATACGAAATTTATAATTTTATTATGAGTTTCTCGCATTAAAATGTTGCAAGTAAAAAATATATTGATGTTTTCTAATGATTTAAACATATTACAGTCGAATCCCCAATAACGGCCACATGTAAACAGTGATCATTTTTAGAAACAATTTTTTTGAATAAAACTGCACACAAAATAACCTTCAAACAATTGCCATTTACGAACAACAAACATTTTTTGAGTTTCCATCCTAAAGATACTAGAAAAACTCCTTTTTTGGTAGATTGGATGAATCCATAATAGGATTGTGGTTTTTCATGAATATGATTGGTCGACAACCAATTATATTATTCATTAAAAAACCCATGCACCTTTCCCATATTTTAAGAGACCAGCCAGAAGTCCAAACAACGCATCCAATCATATAAAAATTGTATAATAGTGTATTGTTTAAAATATACTTAGAATTTTTCTTTTTTAAGGTTTGTGTAAATCCAGCATATCGAGCAGCAGAACTCGAATATACCCTGCAAAAGGTAAATATTGTATTACTGTATTATTTTTTTTTATTAAAATGACGTTAATAATTCAGAAGTAATTGGGCTGTAATTTAAAAAAAATTATAGATTTATAAATTCCCATTTATCGTCCATCCGTCCGTCTGTCTGTCTGTCTTTACTTAATCTCGAGAGCAGAGTTAGATAAGTGTAAGACGAGATGGATATGGAAACTTTAGGGACAGGCGATCCCGATATATGAACTTTCGATGCAAACCGAAAGCCACGTTTTTTCAATTTAAAAATTTTCTCGTGAAAGGTGTTAGATGACCTGCACGACTGTATTTTTAGTAATTGTATGATGTATAGAGGAAACCTACTACTAATTTTAGGTGGAGAGCATATATTTTAAGTGAAATAAATTAAAAATATAATTAAAAATTGCAGCCCGGCATTGAGACGATGTCACGATAAATAATTGCTCGTTCTTATAATTAAAAAGCTATTTTTACATAAAATTCTTAAGGCAAGTTCTTTGAAATACTTTCAGATGCAGTGTAAAGTACTTGTTGCAGGTGAATCGTTCAAGAAGCAATCGTATTACGACATACTTTGTGAACTTATTCCCGAAATTCCTAATTGTAAATCTGGAAATATACAATCTCAAAAGTACGTTAAAATATATATATAAAACTTATGAAAATAAATATCTAGCATTATATAAGTGTCTATTGATTTTAATTTCAGGTTAAAGAATCTTAAACATATAATTAAAATTTCTGATAAATTGTTCTCGTAAGTAATCGCTATAAATTTTTTTTTAAAAATAAATAATTCATCTTTTGTCAAATATATTCTTATTAATTAAAATAATCATATTTTCTATATTTATTGAAAATAATTTTATGCAATTTTTTATTTATTATGACTTGTGGGGTATATAAAATTTTATTCATCCTAATATTTTGTTTTTTGTGTATTGCCGGCTAGATTACCCCATAATGATACATCACTTGTTTTTACTTTTTCTGTACTGAGAGTTCAAAGAGGACCCACAAAAATTCCTAGAGTATTTCGATCCCGGATTCCTCAGAGCGGCAATCTGCCCGTCAATGTATCATAATAAGAATATCATTCTATTGCTTGTCCATTAGTGAACAAGTGGATAAAATATTGAACAGTTTGTTGCGGGTTCGTGCCTCACCAATGGGCTGATTACATGGAGTTTTCGAATTTAATTCACATTTCTAACACTTAAATAGATGCTAGTTACAATAGAAAGTCCTCCTGTAAGGGTCCGTTTAACAATTAGCCTAAATGTGGCATTGCCTTATTTTATCAGTCCAGTCCAATCCACTCCATTCGTTGTCTATGGTTACTCTGAGTTCGAATTACAGTGATTTTTGATTGCATGGTTACTCTATGACTTGTAGGGCATGAAAATATTTATAAAAAGTAGATTAACTTTATTCTTCGTTCTTTAATCATTTTAATTAATTCCCTTGAGAGTCAGGCTCACCCATATTCGACATAACTGGCCGGCTATATAGCCTTATACAGGTGTTACAGTCAAAACGCGTTTTTAGTTAGAACGCGTTTTAACTAGTTGAAACTAGTTTATACTGAATGTCTTTGTTACAACCCGTTTTGTCTAGCTAAAACTAGTTTTAACTCAAATTCATTTTTGACTAGCAGTAAATTCTAGTTTTAACTAGACAAAACNTACGTTCCGCTTTATAAGAATTTTGCATTGTAGGAATCCTTAAATACGTGAGCCAATCACAGCCCGTCACGTGTGCAGTTTACGGACTACGACTGTTTGAAAGGTTTTCTTCCATAAAAGTAATAGCATCGTCAAACGGTGCACACTCGGTAAGTAATCCTACAATTTTTCGTTTATAGCATAGTTTATGCGGATTATTCCCAAAAAATTATACGTAATTTGGAAATGTTGAGTCAAATTAGTCTAGAATCGATTAATTTTATAATCGATTCTAGACTAATTTGACTCAACATTTCCAAAACACGTATATTTTTTTGGGAATAATCCGTATAAACTATGCTATAAACGAAAAATTGTAGGATTACTTACCGAGTGTGCACCGTTCGACGACGCCATTGCTTAAGCTTGTTTTCGTCGCGGAGCAGCGCATCGAACGGTGAGCGCGTTTTCTGTTAAGTTATTTTTCTGCGAAAAATTCGCTAAACTTTGGAGACATCATTAACAAAAATATAATTTTTATGGCCGTTGAATAAAAAATGTTTCTTTCACAAGAAATGTATAAAATTACAGTACTGTATTAGATTTACATAATATAAATATAATACTGTACAGACAATAGTAAACTCAACTTGCCTGCCTAAAATCTCCGCAGCGTGGCGCTGAATGGCTGAAAGTAGTTCGGCTGCTCGTCCACTATTGAGATAACGTTTTCCCGCATTTTAGGAGTCTCTTTTAGCGTCCTTATACGAATACAGTCGCAATTTTTTCACCGCGATATACAAATCCGCATTATTTGAACCCGCATTATAGGGAGGTCTACTGTAATAATAATTGCAAAAACAATCTCAAAAAATTTTAAAAAGATTTTAATGTTAATAATATCTGTATTATACTGTACAATAAGAACTATCTGGAATTGAGATGAATCTGTGGTTGCAACCACAGATTGTTCTTGGCAGAAGTGATTGTTTAAATTAACAGATATAAAATAATTTTTATTAATTTCATTTTGTTGGTTTTATTAAGAAAGTTGCTGATAATTTACAATATCCAACATAGTAGTTTTTTTTTTATAATTCTTTTCATCTTATGAGCACTAAGAGGATTCAGTCCTGTCAAAGGTTTGGCCAGATCTATAATGAGGCAGTCAGTTAGTGAGGGACAGAGCTTGGCATATTGAGACAGACCACCTATTGAAAAAATTTCTGAGGATTTTGACTTTGGATTTGACCCCAGGTCCTCCAGGGGTCAAATCCAAAGTCAAAAGTCAGTTAGGCATCAGCTTACTGCGGATGCCTAACTGCTTCACCATCTGGCAGGCTCAACAAAAAGAGTTTGAGAATCAATCAATTAGCTCTTATTCTCTATAGCAAATTAAAATATATTAAAATCAACATTCATATTTTAAATAGTTTTCCTTGAGTTATTACATAGAAAAGGAAAATTAATGGAAATTTATCAACTTTCATGATGAAAGAAAACATGTTTTCTTTATCCCAGAACAGATTTTTCCTGGTTCTTAATTTTGTATAAGCTTAACTTCATCTCATAACAATTTAATATTTTTATTGAAAGTAATATTTGTAATGTTGTTTGTTATAAGCATATTTATCAGAATAGAAATTACTATAGTAAATGAGGAGGAGAGAACTTCACTAGCTCATTTTTTTTTACTTCATTCACTAGTTAATTTTCACTAGTTTATGTAGTTTTCTTTTAAAAATGAAAATTAAAGAAAATGAGTTTATTACAATGGAGAGAGCAGACTCACTTTTATATTTAGTATTTCATTATTTTTTAGTTAATTTAAATTTTACATTATCCTTGTTCTACTTAAAGAATTAATTATAGATACCTGCATATGGTTTATTGTGATTTAAAATGATACAAATAAGTTTATCTGAATTTGAGAATATTCTAATTTCTGTTTAATTATTTTGTAGCCTGAAGATGAACAGAAATATTTGAAAGCATTTGAATTTGTGATTTTTTATTAATTTTATTGCTCAATAAAATAATTGGTTGAAGCAAAAAGAATAAAGCAATTTTTGTTGTTAGTAGAATTGAATCAGTGTTTATAAAAATTTATGAAATTTTCAGTAAAAAGTTTTCTTATTTGTATTAGGTGGAGTTTCCTGTAAATGTATTATCACGCCAGGCGACATTTGAAATTCAATATGGTCATATACAACGACCTACTCATTTTAATACTTCTTGGGATTGGGCAAAATATGAGGTATATTTCTATATTTAATTAATTTAAATTTAATTCAAATAAATTATTTTAGATGATAATAGATATCCAATAATTTTTTGTTGCTAAATTGAATTAGATTAAGTGGCAGATAATATGGTGATAGAATGTTTAAAACACAACTTTATATCACATGGTTTTTTCATGTAAATTTGGGCCACAGAAATTTAATTATAGGTTCAAGTGTGCCATGAGATAAGAAAGGTTGAAAAAAACTGCTTTAGATCTTTAAAAACTTGTTTCATGGAAAATATTTTACTAATGATGAAGTTTGAGCAACAGTATAAACATGGATGCATGTGCAGCCTGAAGATTTCAATAACAGTAAGATACAAAACTTGGCAAAGTGATGGAACAAATATCTAAATAAGGTGACAATTATATGGAAAAGTAGAGGACAGTCTGAGGTATTGTATGTTTCTACATGTATAGTTGTTGAATAGAGAAATAGTGGCAAAGTCTTTTCAATCAAGTCTTGTATCTTTATTTTGATTATATTACTAATATACTAAGTGAACATAAAGTAAAAAAAAAAAAAATTTGTTCTTGAATTGAAACGTTACCGGAAATAAAGATTCATTAAATGTTTTTATTAATACCGGTAATCAACTTAGAAGATATTGCTATAAAGTAAAAAGTGTTTTTCTGGAAATATATATAATATAGCCAATGCTGAAATTTGTCATTTCTTAAAGCACTAGTACATATTGTAATAGATATTTGTTTCAGAATTTGTCTAGTTTTTAAAGTCACTTTTTGAAATGCTAACTTGGTTTCTGCAGATGTTGAAACATTATTATATTTCAGCATCTGTCTAATTAAACTAGGCAATTCATATAATGCTTCTCAGATTATTAGCATATGGCATAATAAAAAACAACTTTTAAACAGCAAAACATTTAACAATTTTTACATATTTTAAGTTTTTTTTTTACTCTCACCCTGTGGGTACTAAGAGAGTCTTTTACATACTCAGCATGAGCTAAAACTGATTAGAATATTTTATTTTCTTACAGAAAAACATGGCAAATGCATTTTGGATTGAGGTTTATATTATGATTGACTTAACTCCTCTAAAATCATTTTTCTATATTGGTAGCAGTTTCCAAACTGCTGAGATATTCATAATTTTCAAAAAAAAATAAATAAATAAAAATAAAGTTTATAGACTTTACATACATGGCTTGTCTGTGTGTGACAATCAAGCTTATTTTTATTCTATCAATATATATCACCAAATACCTTCTAAATATAATCACACACACCCTCTAGAAATAGTCTGAGGATATAGTTTGAAAAATGCTGTTCTAAATGTTTGTAATGTATTGAACAATTTAATTTTTATTAATTGTGAAATATTTCTTTGTATTAATTGCAATAAAATAATTTTATTTTACATTTTTACATTACATTTTACATTTACACAATATTTATTAATAAAAATTTCAAATCTGTTATAAAATAGGTTTATGCTCACAAATGGATTGATGTATCAGAACATGATTGGGGTGTGGCACTTTTAAATACAAATAAATATGGCCATGCAGTTCATTCCAATGTAATTCGGCTTTCTTTGCTGCGAGCCTCAAAGAGTCCAGATCCAACAGCAGATATTGGAGAACATAGATTTTCATATGCTCTCATGCCTCATACAGGTTTGTTTAAAGTTTAATGTAGAAATCATAATTAAAGAATTTTTATCAGAAGTAATTTATTACATAAAAATTTATCTATCTTTAGATACATTTTTTAAAGCATTAAATAATTATCATATTATTATTCCTGAGTTTTACTTTGTGAACACGAAGAGATTTTAATTGCTTTTGTTATGGATTTGATTAAGCCTGCAGTTAGATAGCTAGGTAGATGAAGAATGAGATCTGATATATCTAGAACAGCTGAAAAATTCTAAAGTACTCAATGTGAATTAAAACTCCAGCAGAACAGTAGAATAGGCACATAGCTGTGCATCCATCTTCTCTCTTTATTAATTATATTTTTTTGACTGAATTGAGTACATTTTTATTCCATAATAGTAACTGATATGTTTGTAAATTATTTATTTAAATTAGTTATATTAACATATTTTTGTTTACATAACTTGTGGCATCATATAATCTGCAATGGCATACACTTTGCAGAAAAATGCTAAAATAGTAATAAAATCTCCATATAAAATGCACCGTTATATATATATATATGTGTGTGTTAGTCAAAACCCGTTTTTAGTTAGAACGCGTTTTAACTAGTTGAAACTAGTTTATACTAAATGTCTTTGTTACAACCCGTTTTGTCTAGCTAAAACTAGTTTTAACTCAAATTCATTTTTGACTAGCAGTAAATTCTAGTTTTAACTAGACAAAACGGGTTTTGTCTAGTTAATTTACTGCTGTACATTTTTTGATTTTAGATAAAACTAGTTTTAACTTTTAACATTAGTTAAAACTAATTTTAGCTACATAAATATGTTTGGGGCAAATAAATAAAGTTATGTATAGTGATTCGGCAGAAGATGCTTAACATTTTGCTTATGAAAGAAATTACAGCGCTAATTCCGGTTTAGAAGCCCTCTAATGAAAATATCATATTCTGGAGTATGTTTTTCAAATAAAACTTTGAACCAACTGAATGCCGTAAATTAATCGGGCTATTTTTATGCTAAATTCTAAATAAATTACGTAATGGTGTCTTACTATATTGGATATCGGGTTTGGAGATGTTTATTTAAAACTTTGAAGTTTATTTTAAAAAATTGTATACTGTGTTTGCAATGACGACTTTTTCACTGTCTGGCATTTAGGCATCTCACCCCAAGTATCCGGGTGAGATGCCAAACGCCATTAGGGTAAGATAACAAATATAACTGCATAAAATTAATTTTTGAATTTCTTAACCAAATTTAATTTATTGCATATGTAGTACAAAGTACTTCATAGTAAGTATAACAGCACAGTATAAGTATTGTTAAGTTTCCGCCCGTTCTAACGTGTTCTATAGATAGTTAAAAGCTTTTTTCAGTCTAAAAACATTTTTGAGAAGTCCTTATATAATTTCTATGCATATCCTGCAATAAAACAAGAAAATAAAAGTTTATTAAAAATACGCATATTGGAAATCAATTAACAAAAAATAGGCACGTTACCCCAAGAAAAATGTGGCATATTTTCCATTTGTTGGGGTAAGATGCATATTAGAGTCACATGCTCCAGCATGTCGATCGGGATCGGCGGTAGCTGACAATGGAAACTTTAGAACCTCAACTACATCACATATAATTGTTTTTTGAAATTTTTAATAAATTCCATTTTAACTTTCAGTTTAAAATTATTCTAGAAACATTTCACAACAAAAACTTCGTTCTTATCTAGCTTTTATTCTTCTCGGATGTTGAAAATGAAGTAACCGTAGCCAACTACTGTACAGCTTTCCGCACTCAATATTGACCCAACGATTCATCATACAAATACATGACAATATGTGACGTCACCGTTTGAAAATATCAAAAATTAGGCATCTTCCCCCGCATACCATCTTACCCCGAATCACTCTATGCGTTGCAGTCAAACCAGTTTTTAGTTAGGATGCGTTTTAACTAGTTAAAACTAGTTTATACTGGATGTCTTTGTTAAAACCCGTTTTGTCTAGTTAAAACTAGAATTTACTGCTAGTCAAAAATGAATTTGAGTTAAAACTAGTTTTAACTAGACAAAACGGGTTTTAACAAAGACATTCAGTATAAACTAGTTTCAACTAGTTAAAACGCGTTCTAACTAAAAACGGGTTTTGACTGTAACATATACATATATATATATATATGCACCATTATATATATATATATATATATATATCTGTATCTTCAGAAGAGCAGACATTGAAAGCATGATACTGGTATGTAGTTTAGAAGGTACAGTACATTCTCAAACATTAAAACGTTTTTGTTGTGTTGCACTTTGTTGTAAATGTAATTAAAAAATAAATAAAATGAAAAACAAAATGCTGAGAGGGAAACTTCATATGTGGAAAGCACAAATACCCTATGCAATGACAATTGTTTACCATATTGCTTCATTTCTGCTCTATTTATCAATTAATAACAATAAATGTTTAAATGAGCTAAAAAAAAATAAATAGAAAATAATTTCAAAGTTCCACAGTATCTAATGATAGTATGGATAAATGATCACTCAGCTTTTGTGTGCACATGATAAAATCATATATGAGCAAAGTGATTTTAAAAAGTGATTTAGTCATAGAAATGTTTAGTAATCTTTTTAACTTAATTGAATATTTTTTCCAATGAATTAGTTTTCAATTTTTAAAAGATCAATTTTGCAAACAAATTTTTAATTAGAGAAAAATATGTTTTTAGAATTTCCAAACTATTAAAAGTTCAAAATAAGATATTTTATTGTAAAAAGTAATTTATCCTGTTAATTATAAAACTATTTGGCTTCAAAAAAGAGCATAAAGTAAATTTTTTTATTTACTGTTCATTAATAAATTCTGTAGTAATTATAAATTTATTAAGTTTGTCTCTTAATAAAAGAATTGTAATAAACTGGAAGAAAATCTAATCAGAAATTAACTTTTTTATTGCACATTCAAAATTATTAAAATGAAAATTGAAAACTGATAAATGTACTGCTCATATTACAATTACAGTATTTATCATTTAATGTTATCGGTCTTCTATATTTGCTTTTAATCTGAGTTCTTATCACACCTTTGGGGAATATTTTCAATTGATATCAAGAGAATTTTTTAGCTGTCCTACTTTATTAAATATGCATTTCAGACAGTATTAAAGTAGATACTTTTCAGGTTACAAGTTCTTTTACAACAACATTACTTTTTTTTTTAAATCATTACAACTATATACACAAAATTTTTGATTTTGCTACATTGTATAAAAATATACTCACATTCAGTGAAGATTAAACATTAAATATATATATTTTTTTTCTTATTTTTATTGGGTTTTTTCCCCTGAGATCTTTTTTAATGATATCTTATATCTATAAATATATTTGATAAAATATTATAAAATTTACTTTTTTTTTTCATTTCTTAATAAAATTAAATATAAAAATCTACTCTATTTTAAATGTAATTTCCATTTAAAAAACTTAGTTTTTATTTATTAAAAACCCCAGAACTTTTCCTTAAATATATACATTGCAGTATGTTATAAACATATTTATACTTCTCATTTAATAAACTATTCATGTCACCTGAGCTACTGTGATATTTAGTTCTTTGGTGATTTCTGTAGTTTTTCTCACTTTCTTTCTATTCATTTAATACTCATTTACATATCACTGAAATTCTAATTAATTGCTCCTCCTTTTAGTGACAAAGGGATACCATGAATCATGCATTTTCAAACTTTTTTCTGATTTTATTTTCATAATTTGTAGGTATTCAAACCATTTTCTTTTATACATATTTCTTTTTTATTTTTGTTGAATCTCTTGTTTTGCATTCAGTATTGTTGCATTGTTTTGTTCCTGAGAAATTTGTATTATTATATTTTGTCTCTTGAAAACATAAAATTTGAACAGAAGGACAAGAAGCAAATTTTTAATTAATATTTTAAACTTTGTATATTCTTTTATGTTTAAATTTTTATCTCATATTCCATTGTATATAAATTTTGTATATTGTATTTAATAATAAATTGCCAAACGATCACCTAAATATCGGACTACTATATGGCTAATTAAATGATTAGAATAAAGTAATTTGTCATTAGAGGTAGGCGTTATGCGCCATCTCTTAAGTAAATTAATAATTAAAATTAAATAAATAAATTATTAAATTAATTTTAGAACCTTCCGGAATAAAAGAACTGGCCCGGGACGGGGCTTGAACCCACAACCTCCGCTTGCCGTGCGGTGCGCTTGCCAGTTACGCCACCCGGACCCCGAGCGAGTCTTCGCTTCCAGAAGTATATTAGATTTAGATATAACNAAAAGCCATTCTTCCGGTTGCGCCTTAATGCTCTCCCTCTCCCCCCACGGGGGAATTTCGAAAAATCCCTTCTTAGTGTGTGTTTCCATGACGTACCCTAACTGTCTACCAAATTTCACCTCTTTAGGTTAAGCGGTTTGCTCTTGGCGATGATGAATCAGTGAGTCATTCAGTCAGTCAGTCAGGACAAGCAATTTTATATATTTAGATTGTAAACGTTCCAGAAAATTGAAAATAGTTTGTTTGATTCTCAGCAATTCTCATTATTCTCAGCGGTAGGTGTTATATAACAATTACTATGGTTGTTGAAATACTGAATATAAATGGGGTTTGCTCGCAAAACCTCCACAGGCAAAGTTGCAGGTAACAGCTAGTTTTATATATTTAGATTTGTATATTTATATGATCTTAATAGATTATGCTATAAAGCTAAAACTAAATATGAAATTAGATATAAAATTTATTATTGTATTGAGCCACTTAATACAATAATTGATTAATTGAAAATAAATGAAGTAAAATATCATTATATCTAGGTAAGCGACTCTGCAGTTATTATTGATGCTGTCAAGAAGGCAGAAGATAGAGAAGGATGTTTACTTGTAAGATTGTATGAAGCTTATGGGAGTCGAGTGAAAGTAACATTGAGAAGTTGTTTGCCGATAATAAAAGTAACGTTATGTAATGCTTTAGAAGATATAGTGAATGAACCAGGAGGAGAAGTAATGTGGAAAGGTGGTAGTGTTGAATTAAATTTTACACCATTCCAAGTGATATCCCTACTCCTATATTTAGAAATGTAATTTCTTTTCTAAATTGTAATACTATTATTTTTATTGATTACATAACAATCCTGCCATTGTAGATGTTGTTAATATATACCAGAGGCATAATGAAAATTAATTTATATGTGATTAAAATTGAGAATTTTTAAAAATAATTGCATTAATTGTATAATTTGAATTAAACAATTAATGTAATAATGAAGATTTATAGTGATAAAATTTTTGAATTATCAAATATTGTAAAAAAAAAAATAATTTATATAGCATATGAATTTGTTTTTAAATTATTACAATTGTTTTCAAGTGAAATATTATTTTCAATTTTTTTCCAGTCAATCATTTGTAAATTTTTTGTATATTGAAAATTAGCTACCATAATGTACATATTATAAATATATATAAATACATAAACACATCTATCCATTTGACTAAACAATTTTAAAATCATGCTATGGTTGTAAATGCAAACTGAAAATTCCATATGTGAAATTTAAGCATATAAGTAGAATTATTTAGAAAAACATTTACATTATTTTAAAATGTATATTTGATAACAGTGAATTTTCTAGTTTATATTTAAATATGTTTTACATGTTTTAAAATGTTTTCAAAACTGTTGTTTAAATACACAAAATATTTTATAATCGTATGTATACAGAAACAAAATGAAACATTCCCAGAAAATTGCTAGTCAAACAAATGGAACATAAGAAGTCCTCTCACGATCATAAAGAATTAAATTTCAGACTGATTCAGATTTTCAGAAATTCTGTACAGAATTTGGTCTAGGATATTGTTTTCTACTCTTCATCAAGTTGTCAGATTCATTGGAGTTTAATCTATAAGAGATCTGTCTATTAATGAAGAAATTAATGTTTGTTATTTCTATTTGAAAAAATTTCACAAGAGAATCCATTCCATGAAATTGCATTGATAAATTCGAAAATATTATTATTATTAATAATTTTTCCCAAAGATTTACTGTGTATTTATACCTGTAGAACTATTTTAAAATATACTTCCAGACAGAGTTTATGTAGAATTAAGTCTTTAGTTATAAACTAAGTTGATTTTATTAATGCATTGTTTTATTCTTAACTTTTTACAAAATTTATAAAAACAAATTTCTTAATATGATTCTGATTATTTAATTGTTTGGTAATATATATTTTCATATTCAATTTTACAGTTATTCTAAATAGTTATCTGTTCTGAATTGAAGTTATAAAACTAAATATTTGATATCTATATAATAGAATAGCAGTTGCCAACATTTTTGACCTCATGGACCACTAAACTCACAACTTTGAATTCTGTGGACCACTGTCATGAATTTTTTAAAATGATACAAACATCTATAGAATAATGATCATAAAAGTTCCATCTTACTTTATTAATATGAAATTCACTTGTTTAATTATAAAAAATTAACGTAAAGTATGTTTCTGCTTGTTTGAAATAAATTTATGGATTCTCGGCTAATATTCCATGAAGGATGACATCAACAATAGTGTTGTGATTACTCACAACACTATTGTTGATTACTTATTGATCTGTTGACATTATTATTTATTGATAACAATCATTTTGTGTTTTATTTTAGATTTAAATAAAAACCCCAATGAGTGAGAAAATCAGTTGTCCACAGACCACTGGTTGGCAATTGCTGTAATAGAATATGTATAATATTGAATATATGTGTAGAATACATTTGTTGGAAAAAGATGTCTATTACCACTAGAAGACATTTTAAAAATATAAAATACAAGTATTAATATATTGTATATTGAGAGAAAATTTTGATAAAAGNGTAGAGGTGAGGAGAGAGATGAGTAAGTTACTTCTTCGTCTCTCTCCTCACCTCTACTCCGAATCCAATCGCTCACCCGCTACCGCTCGCAGGACATAACGTCGCAATTTCCGAGTCCCCCAGAGACTCGGTGGTGTCAGATTTAGGTCTCCTGACGTGGTGTCAAGAGACACCGACCCTACGGTCACAATAATAATAATTTAGTAACATAAATTTATTCATAGTAAAATGTACTCTGGGGCCGTAAAAATTATTTGGCGGGCCGTATACGGCCCGCGGGCCGCCAGTTGGACAGCCCTGATATATACTATTCGGGCTTTAAGTTGGTGTTATTTATTGTATTTAATGTTTATATTTTTTGTTCTTTTACTTTTTGTGCTTTGCAATCAATAGTTTGTTAACTTTAGAAGGCCATTTAATTTGATTTAAAATGTTAATATTCTATTAAACTTGTTAGTGGAGTTAATAAGGTGTGAATTTTTTACTACCAAGAACATTTTTGCTATACTTGCCTTACCTTACATTTTTATAATAATTTTTCATGTAAACAACTAATATTGGTTTTAAAAATGATCTGCAATTGTCAATAAAGAAATAGGCATCTGTATTAATTATGAAAACATTAAAATAACAAAAACGTGCAGAGTATGATCATGATTTTTCCAGTCTAGTTTTGAATGATTTAAAATAATATGATCTTATAAAAAAGAACAGCTGTCATCCTACATGTGTAAAAACTAAACTAAACTCATATTGATGTATTAAACTAAACTAGATTTTATTGCATAAAATCAAGGAGAAATATTGCACAGTTAAGCTAAGGTTATTTTAAAAAAATATTTTATAAATGATTTTAATTGTCAAAATTTATCTTATCATAATAATAAAAAAAAAAGCAACAAGTTAAAATATGATAAAATCAACAATTTGTTTTTAAATCCATCTCTTAAATGATGAGTTTACATAGATAGAGAAGATTTAATTGAAAATTTATCATCTTTTAAAGTACAAGTTTAAGTAGATATGTTTAATAATATAGTAATACCCCAAGTTACGTAAGTAATGTGGACTGTAGACCTTTACGTAACTCAAATTTTACATAAGTTTAATATGTAAATTGCTTAAGTGTAACTACATTATTAATAACTCAATACTGTATTTATTATTATTATATGTGTACTGTACATATATTATTTATTATTTTTTTGTATAAAAGAACAATAGAAATACAAAGTAAATATATAAACAAAACAAAGAATTTTTAAAAATTTTTCTTTTTAAGTTATTGCAGACCTTTATTACCATCAAATTTGGTTTGTCATTTTGATGCCTTTTAATGGTACAGTACTGTAAATAAACAACGAACACTATGAAAATGTAGTTTTGGTAAACAGGTTATGTATTAAACAAATCACTTGAGGCAAACTACACTAATTACGTGAAATGATACATATAGAAAAACAAGCAATGAAGATGTGCTTGGTTTTGCTGCTTGGCCTTCAATGAGAACTGAGTAGTACTGTAGAAGAATCTTGTTTACAAGAAAGATTGCCCAGTACTCTTGTGTATGTGCTTACAATTAGACCGAAAAGTAAAGGATTAGCAGAGCAATAAAGTAATAAATCAGTACAGTGCAAAATAAAGAAAGGAAGAGAGAGAGAGATGAATGAATGAATGTTTGAAATAGAATAATTCTTTGTAAAATTACATGTTACTCTACTCAGATTTTTTCCAATTTTTGAGATTTACATTTTATGTAGCTGCAAATTTACAATATTACATAACTTGGGGTATTACTGCAATAATAATAATAATAATTAAGTTCACATCAAGTATTTCTCTGATTTGTTTTCATGTCATTTTCAGTCAACATTTGAGAAAAGATATATTATCCCATCTATCTTATAATCCAAACCTGACATTGTCAGATTTTCACTCATTTTGACTATTGAAATAATTTTTAAGAATGAAAGTCATTTTGTAATAACTTAGACATGTTTGCTTATTCAATTATGTATATTCAGTTGATTTTTTTTAAACTAGAATTAAAGATATTCCAAAATACTGAAAGAAGTACATTGCAGTTTAAGGGGATTATATTGAAAAATTAGTATAATATCAAAATAGAATGGAGTGAAATTTTGATTTATACAATTAATAAAATTTTTAGTTAGATTTATATTTATATTTAAATGATCTTCATATGTATGTATATTTTATAAACACTCAAAAATTCAAACTCTACATAACTATTTAATATGAATTTTATATTCTGTATTTATATGTTATTATATTTAACAGTTTTTTAACATAATAATAGCATCAGTTTGAAATTGTACCTTTCTTCCATTTTTTATTTTTTAGGGTCATTTCAACAAGCAGGTGTTATTCAACAATCATATCAACTTACCTGTCCACTTCAGTTATATCTTACAAACAATCCAGGAAGTCATCATCCTCCTCCTGGCTTTACAATGCATAGGGTTTTACCTTTAGAAATACACGAATCCCTCAGTTGGTTTCAGGTTTGTAATTAGCATAAACTGAAATTAATATTTATTTCAAAATTTTAACAAAACAGTATTAAAAAAATTTGATATTAATAATCTTCATTTTACCTTCTACTTTGATATAATGAAAAATATGCAATTTATTTAATGAAATATCTGTATTTTTGTAAATGTGTTTATTAAAAATAAATACATATAAGATATACAAAAAAAAGTGCACAAATTTGAATATACTTTTGGATTCGTGATGAGAGTAGAATTAATTTATAAATTAGAACATGGAAGTTTTCTACTTTCAACTGATATTAAATATGAAGTTATTTTCTTCAGAATTATCACAAAGACTGGAGATGAACAGTCTGCAAAGAGTAATTTTTTTTATTGTTCATTTCAAGTGGAGGAGGATTTATAAGATTCTGGATAAACTATAAAAAGTTATGATGAGTAGAAAGCTAGATTTGAGTTGAACAAAGGTATAGTTAGAATGCCCTCAATACTGATGTTGGCCTCAGTTTCAGCTCATTGGCCAAAAGATGGGTATCAGACAAAACTGTGAAAGGATATTGTTTGACATGGTATATGTGATGAGAAAGCAAAAATCTTCACCAGAAATGAATCTAGTCAAGAATAGAGGTAATTGCAGCAATTGTCACTCTCTTCAGAGGCACCAGAGATACTCTCTTCACACTGATATAATTATGAACAACAAGATCCAAACAGATATTGATCACACCTCATATTGGGAGTCATTCTCGGATTTTCATTGATAAACAATAGGTCCTTATCTTGGATCTATGCGGTAACTGCAGGAGTTTGTCTACCTCATTAACAGAAAATAATTAAAATTTTTGTTCAAACTTCAAAACTTTGTTTTTAAAACCTTTATGATGGAAAATATAGTTTTTTGAACCATCCACAGTACACATGTTAATAAAAGTTACTTATAATTATCCAGATATTTTTAATTTTTGATTTACTTCCTTTTGGATTTTTCTGGATCCATGAGTAGTCCTTAGTATCATTTTATCTTAAATTTGTTGTCACTATATTATGCTATTCACATGATTAATCTTATCATTTTATGTTAAATTTTGAATAAATTGTACTTTATAATAAATGTGCCCCTTTTTTCCCCAAATACATTATACCATATTTCCTGTAATAATAACTCATGTAATTATTTTTCTTGTAATAGTCACCTACCTAACTTGTATTATGAGGTAAAATGCACTGGTTGAGCTAAATACCAGTATATTAGTGGTGCAATTGATCAAGTAATCAACTATCGATATGATATTTTTCAGTATCAAAATCAGGAAAACAAATACTGACTAGCATCATTATTTATGTTCAAAATTACTGGTATCAGGAATTATTAAAATTTACAAAGTTAAGGTAATTCAAGTACAGTAGAACCTCGATTATCTGGACCTCTATTATCCGGATTTTCGATTATCTGGATTGTTCAAAATAAACAAAAATTTTACGAATTTGCTGATTTGCACTTGGCAAATTACAACACTGTTTATGTATGTGATGGAATGCATAACATTTCTTGTTTCAACAACGTCTCACCTGGCACAGTGGTTGTATACTCTTAAATATATTTTGCGTTGTAATAAAAATATAACTTGACTTACATATTTATAAATAATTTATACTCAAATTGCATCATTTCTATAACCAAGTGCGGCGTAAGGCATGGGTGACGTGGGCCACCACCTATGCCTCGCGGTCCGAAGGACCTCGCACCTCAAAGGTTTATGCATTACTTAAAAGCCGCAAATGCGACAAAAAAATTTTACTCGTCATAAAATGATAAATAGTTTGTCTAATTTTTATTCATAAAAATGCAGTTTTGACTGCTTTTTATTTTATAAAATCTGTCTTCTTGAGCCCCAGAGGGCCTTTTAAACAACAGCTAATCTGTTAGCGCTGGTCAGTAGTAGTCCAAATTCAATAAAACGTTTGTTTCTTGAAAATTTGATCACGATTTAAATACAGTATTTATTTTTAATATTACCGATATGTCATTGAAAAGAAAATGTGTTGTATTATCATTAAAAGACAAATTAAAGTATTTGTTTCGATTATCCGGATTTTTCCCTATCCGGACTACCTTCATCCCCAATTAGTCTGGATAATCGAGGTTCTACTGTACTTCATTCAAATTAATTTTTATGTATTGTATATTTCTGCAGATAAGACAATAATTGAATCATAAAAAAAAAGCCCCCATAATTCAGGGTCATATTATAGGACAGATACAAAAAAATTAGATTGAAATTTATATAAATTAAAATCATTATAAAAAAAAAAAACAGAAAACCCGTAATTATTTACTAGTAGAGAGTAGGGTATGTCCACAAAATAGAATAGCCCATATGACGGTTTTTGAATAGTCAAGGTGTGAATGTTTGCAACAATAACAAGGCACTGCTGCCAGATGCAAGAAAATAAAATTTGTTCATTCAAGAAATTACAAATAGGACATAATTCTGTATACGCTATACACTATTATTATCCAGATGATGATTACTGGTGTAAACTAAATTCATAGGCTGTTGATAGTTTGAGGGTCGTCTTATAGGACAGATATATGCTAAAACTATAAAACTTTGGCAAAAATTTTTTATCTCGTCTTATCTGCAGAAATATATGGTACTTATTACAATATTCCAATTTAACTAGTTTTATATTAGTGTGACATTATAAATAATAAACATCTTATAGCCCAATGAGTATATAATGAAATAACCAACAATCGCCTGAAAGATGCAGCTAGAATTTGGCTAATTAAATGAGCCAAATTCTAGTCCAATCTTTCAAGTGATCATTGGTTATTTCAGTTGGGACATTAGTTTTACATCTCTCTCGGAATTGTGATTTTTTTTGTTCCTTCTTACTATTTCAATATATTTTATTCCAATAATTGTCCACTAAAAAGGCAGGGGAACTCACCCAGTGGGCAATTATTACAGGAAATAGTGTTTAGTCTTCTAAGATTTAATCTTTAGAATATTTAAATGACTCAAATATTTAACTTGAAAATGTTTCTTGAATTCTTTTGACTAAAATATTCAAAACAAAAGTTGTTGTTGTTGTTTAATAGTGATGTTTTAATCTTTCATAAGAAGAATTAATTCTGCAAAAGTCAAAGGCAAAAAATTTAAAATTTTAGTATGCAGCATTAACTTAGGTCTTTTATTTCTTTCTAATTTAGAATACATATGTACCAATCAGTTATAGTTACTAATATTTCCTGTAATTTTCCTTCTTCTCATTCTTACTATATTATTTTAAGAAGTACATAAATGACTTCTTTTTATGATTTGCAATTAAAATTAATTTGCTGTATTCTTGATTGCTGTGTTTTGATAATTGAGTTCAATAATGGAAGAGATGGAAATAGGATCTATTTTGGAATGTTTTTCTTGGAATGTGTAGGAGTAATGATATGTTATTTCTGCATATTACAAGAAAGAGTGAAAGCCTGAGAGAATATACTGCTAGTTCTATGAGGTTGAGATGCTTTAGTATCCTATCCTGATATGACATACTCACACATTACCTTTTAATCTAACTTTTTTAAAAATGTTTTTACATTTGTATTTCCTTCATAACAAATTCAAGTTGTTGATTGGTGATATTGAAACTTCTGCTATTTACAAGAGGATAAAACTCAACATTCAGAGCAACAATTAAACTTTTTAGTGTTAACTATAAAAAGTTTTTCATTTTGCTTATGAAAGTGCACCACCCTTGCCTGTGTTTTTATACCAATGGATGATATAACCATCAGAAATATTATTGCAGTAGAAATTTGTGTGATTGCAATTTTCATAGATGCTACTTTTTATAAAAAAATATATTTATATTTTTACTAGCTGTTACCCGTGACTTCGCTTGCAGGGATTTTGCAAGAAAACCCCATTTATATTCAGTATTTCAACACCATAGTAATTGTTATATAACACCTATCACTGAGAATGATCAGAATTGCTGAGAATCAAATGAACTATTTTCAATTTGATCAATTTTCTGAAACATTTACAATCGTTCTATAATCGAACCAATATGCAATAACAAATTCGAATTTAAAACGGTTTGAACATTTGGTTAAAAAATCAAAATATATAAAAATATTTATAACAATGTCTGAAATGTTATCAATTTAAGGGAAAGTATGGTAATCAATTTCAAAAGCTGTTCTTCAGGTTAAGCATTAATGCTCTCCCTCTCCCCTGTGGGGGAATTTTGAAAAATCCCTTCTTAGTGTTCATTTTCATGATGTCCCCTAACTGTGTACCAAATTTCACTCTTTAGGTTCAGCAGTTTGCTCTGGGCAATGATGAATCAGTGACTCAGTCAGTCAGGACAAGTAATTTTATATATTTAGATTACTTTTCCTGGCTGACTGATTCATCATTGCCCAGAGCAAACTGCTGAACCTAAAGAGGTGAAATTTGGTACACAATTAGGATATGTCATGAAAACTAAGAAGGGATTTTTCAAAATTTCCATTCGGGGGAGAGGGAGAGGATTAAGGCTTAACCTGAAGAACGGCTTCTAATGTACTATTTTAGATGTGATTTTTGTTTTCAACTACATTTAGTCTTCATTGAGTACTTAGGTGCATTAAATTGATAACATTTCAGACATTGTTATAAATATTTTTATATATTTCAATTTTTTAACCAAATGTTCAAACTGTTTTAAATTCAAATTTGTTATTACATGTTTGTTCGATTATAGAATGACTAGCTGTTACCCGCGACTTCGCCTGCGAAAATTTTGCAAGCAAACCCCATTTATATTCAGTATTTCAACAACCATAGTAATTGTTATATAACACCTACCACTGAGAATGATGAGAATTGCCGAGAATCAAACGAACTATTTTCAATTTGATCAATTTTCTGGAACGTTTACAATTATTCTATAATCAAACCAATATGCAATAACAAATTCAAATTTAAAACAGTTCGAACATTTTTAAAATCGAAATAGATAAAAATATTTATAACAGTGTCTGATCTGAAATGTTATTATGTTATTAATTTAATACACCTAAGTACTCGATGAAGATTAAATCCTCTCCCTCTCCCTCGAGGGAGAATTTCGAAAAATCCTTTCTTAGTGTGCATTGCCATGGCGTACCCTACCACAACGCAGATAAAAACAAAAAATTGCATCTAAAATAGTATAGTAGAAACCGTTCTTCCGGTTAAGCCTTAATGCTCTCCCTCTCTCCCAGCGGGGGAATTTTGAAAAATCCCTTCTTATTGTGCATTGCCAATGCATACCCTGCCACAACACAGATAAAAACAAAAAATTGCATCTAAAATAGTACAGTAAAAGCCATTCTTCCGGTTGCGCCTTAATGCTCTCCCTCTCCCCCCACGGGGGAATTTCGAAAAATCCCTTCTTAGTGTGTGTTTCCATGACGTACCCTAACTGTCTACCAAATTTCACCTCTTTAGGTTAAGCGGTTTGCTCTTGGCGATGATGAATCAGTGAGTCATTCAGTCAGTCAGTCAGGACAAGCAATTTTATATATTTAGATTGTAAACGTTCCAGAAAATTGAAAATAGTTTGTTTGATTCTCAGCAATTCTCATTATTCTCAGCGGTAGGTGTTATATAACAATTACTATGGTTGTTGAAATACTGAATATAAATGGGGTTTGCTCGCAAAACCTCCACAGGCAAAGTTGCAGGTAACAGCTAGTTTTATATATTTAGATTTGTATATTTATATGATCTTAATAGATTATGCTATAAAGCTAAAACTAAATATGAAATTAGATATAAAATTTATTATTGTATTGAGCCACTTAATACAATAATTGATTAATTGAAAATAAATGAAGTAAAATATCATTATATCTAGGTAAGCGACTCTGCAGTTATTATTGATGCTGTCAAGAAGGCAGAAGATAGAGAAGGATGTTTACTTGTAAGATTGTATGAAGCTTATGGGAGTCGAGTGAAAGTAACATTGAGAAGTTGTTTGCCGATAATAAAAGTAACGTTATGTAATGCTTTAGAAGATATAGTGAATGAACCAGGAGGAGAAGTAATGTGGAAAGGTGGTAGTGTTGAATTAAATTTTACACCATTCCAAGTGATATCCCTACTCCTATATTTAGAAATGTAATTTCTTTTCTAAATTGTAATACTATTATTTTTATTGATTACATAACAATCCTGCCATTGTAGATGTTGTTAATATATACCAGAGGCATAATGAAAATTAATTTATATGTGATTAAAATTGAGAATTTTTAAAAATAATTGCATTAATTGTATAATTTGAATTAAACAATTAATGTAATAATGAAGATTTATAGTGATAAAATTTTTGAATTATCAAATATTGTAAAAAAAAAAATAATTTATATAGCATATGAATTTGTTTTTAAATTATTACAATTGTTTTCAAGTGAAATATTATTTTCAATTTTTTTCCAGTCAATCATTTGTAAATTTTTTGTATATTGAAAATTAGCTACCATAATGTACATATTATAAATATATATAAATACATAAACACATCTATCCATTTGACTAAACAATTTTAAAATCATGCTATGGTTGTAAATGCAAACTGAAAATTCCATATGTGAAATTTAAGCATATAAGTAGAATTATTTAGAAAAACATTTACATTATTTTAAAATGTATATTTGATAACAGTGAATTTTCTAGTTTATATTTAAATATGTTTTACATGTTTTAAAATGTTTTCAAAACTGTTGTTTAAATACACAAAATATTTTATAATCGTATGTATACAGAAACAAAATGAAACATTCCCAGAAAATTGCTAGTCAAACAAATGGAACATAAGAAGTCCTCTCACGATCATAAAGAATTAAATTTCAGACTGATTCAGATTTTCAGAAATTCTGTACAGAATTTGGTCTAGGATATTGTTTTCTACTCTTCATCAAGTTGTCAGATTCATTGGAGTTTAATCTATAAGAGATCTGTCTATTAATGAAGAAATTAATGTTTGTTATTTCTATTTGAAAAAATTTCACAAGAGAATCCATTCCATGAAATTGCATTGATAAATTCGAAAATATTATTATTATTAATAATTTTTCCCAAAGATTTACTGTGTATTTATACCTGTAGAACTATTTTAAAATATACTTCCAGACAGAGTTTATGTAGAATTAAGTCTTTAGTTATAAACTAAGTTGATTTTATTAATGCATTGTTTTATTCTTAACTTTTTACAAAATTTATAAAAACAAATTTCTTAATATGATTCTGATTATTTAATTGTTTGGTAATATATATTTTCATATTCAATTTTACAGTTATTCTAAATAGTTATCTGTTCTGAATTGAAGTTATAAAACTAAATATTTGATATCTATATAATAGAATAGCAGTTGCCAACATTTTTGACCTCATGGACCACTAAACTCACAACTTTGAATTCTGTGGACCACTGTCATGAATTTTTTAAAATGATACAAACATCTATAGAATAATGATCATAAAAGTTCCATCTTACTTTATTAATATGAAATTCACTTGTTTAATTATAAAAAATTAACGTAAAGTATGTTTCTGCTTGTTTGAAATAAATTTATGGATTCTCGGCTAATATTCCATGAAGGATGACATCAACAATAGTGTTGTGATTACTCACAACACTATTGTTGATTACTTATTGATCTGTTGACATTATTATTTATTGATAACAATCATTTTGTGTTTTATTTTAGATTTAAATAAAAACCCCAATGAGTGAGAAAATCAGTTGTCCACAGACCACTGGTTGGCAATTGCTGTAATAGAATATGTATAATATTGAATATATGTGTAGAATACATTTGTTGGAAAAAGATGTCTATTACCACTAGAAGACATTTTAAAAATATAAAATACAAGTANATTATGTGACAAACTTCAAAATTATTCATAAAAAAAACATGCACAAAATGCTATTTTAATAATGTAATTTCTTTGTTTTTGTGTTGTAGAACATTAAATATAACAACAGTGTAAATATATACTGTATACTGTACTATTATTAGTTTGTTCATTTTTAGAATAAAATTAATAATTAATCTGTTCCAAAATACAAACAGTAACTTGCTTTGTTTGATTCTTATTCAAATTTATTTGAATAAGAATCTTATTCATTCTTATTAATAAGAACTTATTGAAATTTATTTGAATCTAAATATCAGTTCAGGAATATTATACCAAATAATAAGCAAGAAAAGCTTTTCAAAAATTTTTGTCAAGCCATACTTGCCATTTGGATGAAATTTTATATTTACCAGAACTTATTTTTTAATTAAAGGAAATTCCAAAAATTTTATATAAATTTATAAAATCAAAAATATTATTTTATTATAAAAGATTTCATAGTATTTCATATCTTAGAATATATGTTCTTGGAAAAATTTAAATAGAATTAATATTAATAAAAGCTACAAAATTGATTGTATACAGTTTATTTAATTAGTCTAGTATTTAAATTTGTCAAGAAACATGATTGAACAGAAACTCAAGTGATAAAAATCTACAGGATGAAAACATATTTGTATAAAAACTCATTGGACAAAATAATATATATATATCTTTAATATTATAACTATTATTTTATAATTTTTAATTTGGTTATTATTTATTTTTAAAAAAAATATAAAAACATGTTTTTTATGGAAAATGAAGTATTGTGAGAAATGCAAAATATGGATAAAACAAAGTGAGTAATGGTGGTTTTTTCTCTCCAGGACTTTTCTAGTACAGTTTTAACATCACAAGTATAAGGAATCAGGTGAAAAACTTTATAAATTTTAATAAATATTATAAAATATTATATCTAATGCATATAGTTCAGAAATGGCAAACCAAAATAGGTTTATATAAAATTTTTAAAAAAATCAAGCATAATATTATGCTGCATGTCACACAAATTTTAAAGATGGAATAACAATTAAATTTTGAAAAATATTAAAGTATGAAGTATAAATCTAATTATCAAATAATACACAACCTATAATAATAAATTAAACCAGCATAAATATTACTTTTTATTAATGTTTGGAAAGGTTTTCATAAAAATCACTAAAAAAAATGAAGATGAAACTACAAATAACAAAATTTAGAGAGAACTTTGTAGTTGCTTTGTGAATTTGATTATTTCAGGATCAAAATAATTTATCCATGACAATTACAAAATACAGTGGGTGATCGGTTAACGAACATAATCCGTTCCAAGACTTTGTTCGCTATCCGAATTGTTCGTTAACCGATTATCGATTTACCATAGGTTTTAATGGGAATTTAATTAATTCGTTCTAGAGACCTCCCCTTACTACGTTTATTTATACAGTATGTAATAATAAAGATACATCCATACACAGTCTTGTGTTTTTATTAGTCATGTTTTTTCCGTTTGAAAAGGTTAAAGAATCTGTCTAATGTCGATTGCCTTTATCTCTTCTTCAGGATTTTTCGTAAGTAATTGCAATTGTAGAAATCCCCAAGCCTCAACTTGGTTTGGATGCCATTCTAACACCGTTGTTCTGACATTCTCCCACTTCTTCAAAGGATCTTTAATTAATAACAGATATCGTCATTAATCCTCTTTTTCAGAAGGAAACATATCTCGCCGGGTTTCTTGGTGTTCTTCATTCAAGAGTTCTTNAAAAACATGTTTTTTATGGAAAATGAAGTATTGTGAGAAATGCAAAATATGGATAAAACAAAGTGAGTAATGGTGGTTTTTTCTCTCCAGGACTTTTCTAGTACAGTTTTAACATCACAAGTATAAGGAATCAGGTGAAAAACTTTATAAATTTTAATAAATATTATAAAATATTATATCTAATGCATATAGTTCAGAAATGGCAAACCAAAATAGGTTTATATAAAATTTTTAAAAAAATCAAGCATAATATTATGCTGCATGTCACACAAATTTTAAAGATGGAATAACAATTAAATTTTGAAAAATATTAAAGTATGAAGTATAAATCTAATTATCAAATAATACACAACCTATAATAATAAATTAAACCAGCATAAATATTACTTTTTATTAATGTTTGGAAAGGTTTTCATAAAAATCACTAAAAAAAATGAAGATGAAACTACAAATAACAAAATTTAGAGAGAACTTTGTAGTTGCTTTGTGAATTTGATTATTTCAGGATCAAAATAATTTATCCATGACAATTACAAAATACAGTGGGTGATCGGTTAACGAACATAATCCGTTCCAAGACTTTGTTCGCTATCCGAATTGTTCGTTAACCGATTATCGATTTACCATAGGTTTTAATGGGAATTTAATTAATTCGTTCTAGAGACCTCCCCTTACTACGTTTATTTATACAGTATGTAATAATAAAGATACATCCATACACAGTCTTGTGTTTTTATTAGTCATGTTTTTTCCGTTTGAAAAGGTTAAAGAATCTGTCTAATGTCGATTGCCTTTATCTCTTCTTCAGGATTTTTCGTAAGTAATTGCAATTGTAGAAATCCCCAAGCCTCAACTTGGTTTGGATGCCATTCTAACACCGTTGTTCTGACATTCTCCCACTTCTTCAAAGGATCTTTAATTAATAACAGATATCGTCATTAATCCTCTTTTTCAGAAGGAAACATATCTCGCCGGGTTTCTTGGTGTTCTTCATTCAAGAGTTCTTGGCGTTTTTCTGTCGTCAGATCCGTTTCCGGTTCCATTATGAACTCTTCGACGTTCTTTATTTCTCAGATGTGATTTTTGTTACTCCTTTAGCTGCTTGAGTCTTCTTGATTATACAATATCTTTCTTAGATAAGATTGAACTGCGGCCTACTGTAGACCTGTTCACGCCAAACTGCCCAGCAACATTAGGTATCTTCTGCCCACTCTCTACCTTTGCTATTATACTCACCTTTCGAAAAGAAAAACAGACGCAAAATTTAACGAGTGCCTACCTGACAGTCTCGTGAATACATAAAAGAATTGTTAAAGAAAGCACATTAATAAAAGAATTGTTTTGTCAGAAAAATAAAAGGCTGGAATTACAAGGGAGAGTTTCAAAGTTCGAAGAAATGCTATCCAATCGGTATATACCGGCTTGAGTGTCGATTTCGACGTCTCCCACACTCCGAAAAGTTTCGAATTGTTGCCCGAAGACAAGGGAAGACCAATCGATATTCATTATTTTACGTCGCTTCTTCTTGTGTTTGTTCTGTGGGGTGTTCGTTATCTGATCATATGTTCGTTGTCTGATCATAAAAATCTTTCGCA